AAAAAAACAGGATTAACCCCATGACCGGTCTTTCAAAATCAACCTCTTGGGTAATTCAGACAAAACTTGAACTAATCATTCATGAGAGAAACCATTCGTTCAAGTCCCTCGTCCAAGTTATGATTCTCATTCCATTCCACGTAATTTATCATTCCCGTTACTTCTGAACCCCTTGTGAAATGTGCGGAGGAGAGGTGTAATCCATATGAGAATAACATCTCCACATCAAGCTTTGCTTTAGATTCGATTCTCACCACATTCCCTCCGATTGCAACATTTTCGATCTCATTGGTCCTTTGCATGTACAGTAGAGCTGCCCCACCTCACATAACCGAGGCTGGCTAGACCCCGGCCATAGAGATACGGTGATCATGCTTCACACGAGGTCAGGTAGCCACTCCTTCCCTCACGAAAAACAATAGTCGCCTAGCCTACATACAACATTCTAACTATATCTCAACACCTTTCTCCCGTTCACTGATAGTATAGTCCTCCTTCCCTTAAACCACATAGGGTACAGAGAACAACATCCCACTATGGACTAGGAGCATCGCTCCGGCGCGGGTCTCACTACCACCTACGGAGCTCACAAATCCATCATAAATTTATCGTCACATGATAACATCTTTCACGAAAAATATTCGAGAACATCGATACATCTTACAACAAATGCTTTCACATGAAATTTCATAATGACCCAAGCTAAATAATCTTCAACATTAGTTCAAATGCCTTTGTATCATAGAAAAACATCAAAACGATGGATAATCTGAAAAAAAATGGTAGTCCGGGTAAACTGATCAATCGAAATTTACATCATTCCAATATAAAAATAAAATGTATTATTAAATTAATCTGCAAAACAATATGAAGACGAAGTCAACGTTTAGTTGACAACATTTCAAAATAGTTCCAGCTGATAATAATTTGAGCAATGAATTTGATATACTAAAATCATAACCGAAATGATATCTAAAAGTTCAAAATAAAGTATACGATTAAAATATTATACATAAAAGATAATAATTCTGAATATAATATTTAAAGAGAAAACTAGGGCGCTGTCAGGGTTACAGTTTGAAAATGCATTTCAAACTGCCGTTTTGGAGTCCAGTCCCCTCTCAAGTTTACACTGCAGTCCAAACTCCCCCGTCGCGTGGCTGTTGCAGGGCAGAGTTTGTAACTAAGTCTAGTCATCCACGTCGGAGCGGCAGGCCGTTTCCAAAAAAAAAAAAAAAAAACAAGAAGAAAAAAGAAAACATCGTGGCGGTGTATCTTTCCATGTTTCAAGGAAGATTCACTCTCAGTTTCCACGAAATGTGCAAAACGAGAGTGAATCTTCTCTAGAACCTGGAAAGATACAGAGCCATGATTTTTGTGTTTTGAGCAATGGAGATACAGGGGCCCAACGAAATACACGGGCTGACAACGAAGCAGAGGCCCTCGCGGATACACGTGCTGACAACGACCCAGTTTCTTTTCTTTTTTTTTTCCTCTTTTATATTTTTGCAACCCAGAGCCTGTCTCTTATACACATCTAGATGTGTATAAGAGACAGGTACTGCAGTTGCAAACTGGGCCTCGGGACTTTTGTGCATGTCAAGAGTTTCAACTGCAGGTGAAACTTGGGACGGTACTGGACTCCAAACAGGCAGTTCGAAGTGCATTTACAAACTGTCGTGATTGCGCCCTAGTTACCCCATATTTAAAATATATATAGATAAAATCGAGGAATATCAAGATAATACCAAAGTATGACTCAATTAATATCAGGACGTTAAAAATTTACATCCAACTGAAATGTTCAAAATAATCAAAACATCCTTCATAATAAAATTCACACATAACCTGTAGAGATAAAATAATAAGAAATTAATTAATGATGAAAAAATAATTAACTTTTAAAAATTAGAATACGATTAATTGATCCATTACCTGCGTAGCACAGTGAACATGTTTGCCCGAACGCGAACAAGCGTCCAAAACCCTCTGAACGCGCCCAAAAAAAAAAAAAAAAAAAAAAAAAAAAAAAAAAAAAAAAACGTTTTTCAGAAAAATCTGAAAAATATATATGTTATGTGAAATATTAATACAAGCATTTTTGGCCTTTGAGTCATGTTCAAATTTGTAGCCAGTCATGAGTTAAAAATCAAAAACCGAATTTGTTTTTTTTTTTTTTTTTTTTTTTACGAAAAAATTTATGTTTGCCCGAATATGTTCACAAGCTGTTCGCGCGAACGCGCGAACGTGAAGGGGCGCGAACACGTTCGTCGTGCTACGCAGTCCATTACAAAATACAATACCCAAGTGTCGTTCCACTAGGCTCAACGGTAGGTATCCGCTATCCCTTGCAACGGCGTCACCTGTCGAGTGCATCGGCTGCCGCCTTTTTGCAAAGCGTGGGAGCCCTCCTTTTTAGCCCTGTTAGGGTCTGTCACATTTTAGGTAGAATAAGATTAGCTCTGACATTCCCACGTCCACACGCCTCTACGACCTCGACAAAAGCGAGGCACAACCGGTTACTGCCGTTACTCTTGGACGCCACAAGTGTCCAGACTAAAGTTCAATATCTTTCCATCTTTCGGTCATAGGTTAGTTTGAATGAACTTTTCGCAAACGTCAGTCTAATCAAGTCATTCTATTCAACGAAAAAGTCGGACAGTGTCCTACTTTAAAAATCCCCGGCAAATATCCTTGTCTGGGTATTTGCCCCAACAACGGCTACAGTCTTCGTGCGAACAAAACGCACATGCGTTATTTACAAACAGAACGCAGGGGGGGGTTCTATTCTGTTCGTATACAAGACACATGCATTATGCTACGAATATAGGGTATCCAATTCCGAAAATGTCCCCGGTCCAAAAAAAAAGAAGTATGTGCATGGTACAGGTAGCTCCAGTTTTCCCGCAAACAAAACCTTAAGGTACGAGAGAGAGAGAGAGAGAGAGAGAGAGAGAGAGAGAGAGAGAGAGAGAGAGAGAGAGAGGAATACTGCAGGGTGTGCACCTGGAAACTAGCGCAATTCTGCAGGCAGGCAAGAGTGTGTTCTATTTGAATAAAACTGCCATCTGTTCGAATAGAAGAAACGTACACTGTATTTCAACGTGCATACTATTTGGATTTCAGGGGCCAATTCGAGAAATAGACTCTTTCTGGGAAAGTTGAATAGTACATGCTTGCGTTTTGCTCGGGGGAAGACTATAGCAAGTCGTCTGCATCTGCGACCACCTTCTTCCACCGAATACAACACACGATTATAGATACATTTAGACTGAAAGAGGCCCCAAGTACAGCTACAACGACCCTGCGTTCTATTCGGAGGAAGAAGGTAGTGCCTTTACTCTGCATTCCTTGCCTCTGCGCAGTTTCAGACATACAACAAGGGGATGTGACCTGGGACGCTGTGTCCGGTTCCAATCACTTGCAGCTTCCCACCAATAGACAGAAGCCATCGGAGGTCTCACCACGTTCCTGTAGGCTCTCCTATAGCCGCAGGAAAAAAGGTCCTCCCGCGGCTAAGTCCCACTAGCAGGGGTTTAGTCTTCCTTTCCAGTATTTGCAATGCGGCCACAGTGCGGCCGTGAGATGTTTAGATCGATGGCAGGAACTGGTTCACACTCGAAATTAAGCCTAGTGGGGCTTTCGCCCGCGCAAGGCTGACACACGTAAATCGAGAACGATACAGAGAACATTACAGCATGGCCCGCCCAAGGATGAGACACGTAAATCGAGAAATGGTCGGGAAAAAAATTAAAAAAGAAGGGCGGGAAAAAGGAAAAGGGCGGGGACCCTATCAAGCAAGGGGAGTACCAAAGAGCGAGCGACGCGTCTGCAATTGAGCACGCGCGGTTCCCGCCTTTCGTGTGCAGCTCCCGTCGTCGCGGCACCGAAAACGCGCTGACGACTCGGAGGCGTCATTCCTGTGGCTGAGCAAAAGCAGGACTGCCACCGTATTCCTTTTTTCTTCTTTTTTTTTGCCACCGTATTCTGTCTTCTTCGGCGTCTTTGTTTTGTTTTTATTATTTCTCTGTGGAAACGACGAACAAAACAAAACGTGAGAACCAAGGAAACCAGCATATCCCAACAACAACAAAAAAAAAAACGCATACGACAAAGCGTGAGAAAAGGCGACTCTATCTTGACCGTGAAGGTGGCCAGGTGCATGGCGAGATGAAACCCGCGCACCGAAAGATCCGCCGTTCGGTGAGGGATTCCCCAGTGGTGTTCGAAAGAAGGGAAGTGTTCGATCCGTCTGGGAGTCTCTCAGTAAGTCCGCTTCCCAGCCGTCGATGTGGGCAAACTCGTTTACGCCAGGGACCAGCGATTCCGGGGGAAGTACGGAGCAGGCATCAGATCTCTAGACCCAGCCAGGTCGAAAGGTGATGGGGTGGGGACAGCTGCTGTGGGCGCCCCTTTGAGCATTGGCCGATCATGCCAAGCTCGCAGGGAGACCTGGAAAATTCTTGTCAGGGACGCCTGGCCTGGGGCCATGTCCCACTGGCCGTGGAATTTTCAGATCGGATGGCAGGGAGACGTGCACACTTGAAAATTCCCGGTTCCGACCTTAAAATTCGATGGTAACTGAGCCAGGCCGCTGGATCTACGGGGTTCTCGGCCTTTTTTTTTTCTTTTTTTTTTTGAAATTCTTGCGCAGGGGCCATGCTAATCTTCTCTGGACCATTTCTCGATTTATGCGTGTCATCCTTGCGCAGGGGCCATGCTAATCTTCTCTGTATCGTTCCAATTTTAACGGATGTCCCGAAGGACAATTTCTCGGCCTTTTGGCTAAGGCCACGTGTAGTAGCTGTCCATCGGGAAAAGGAGAGAAAAGTAAGAAAAAAAGGGGAAAAAAAACAGAAGGTTATGCTGGACAGTCTTTGCGAGGGAGAAGCATTGGACTTGAGATAGACACAGAGACTTGAGATAGACACAGAGGATATATAAATAGAGAAAGCCCACCGCAACAAGCAGGATGTGAAGTTGACGGAGCCTTAGGACGTTGGCGTCCGACTTTCACTCCGGAGCACAGGCAGCCGCAATCGGTTAATTTTGTCGACCTTTCAGGTACTAGAATGCATACATCCATTCGCCAGCCTTCGCATGCCTATGAGGTGAATGGTCTCTGGCATGGTCTGCTATGGAGGGATGACTTGTGTTTCTCTGTCTTTCTTATTTTCTTTCTTTCTTTCTTTTTCTTTCTCTGTCTTTCTTTCTTTCTTTCTTTCTTTTTCTTTCTCTGTCTTTCTTTCTTTCTTTCTTTCTTTCTTTCTTTCTTTCTTTCTTTCTTTCTTTCTTTCGCTACGGTAGAACTGCGGGGGAGACCATTCCTAGCATTTTTTTTAACTTTTCTTTACCTAGCCTTCGCATGCCTATGAGTTAAATGGTCTCTGTGTCGAATTATACGGTGTGCTATGGTGGGATAACTTGTGTATCTGTGTCTTTCTTTCTTTCTTTCTTTCGCTACGGCAGAACTGCGGGGGAGACCATGCGCATTAGTTTTGAATTGCGCTTACCTCTGATGTGTGTCGAAACGTGCAAGTTTCTGACAGTGTTGGGTTGGGCATAGTCGGGTATGAAACTGGCGGCAGTCCAATTAACTTGGGCATAGTCGGGTATGAAACTGGCGGCAGTCCAATTAACTTAGTGGGAACGAAGCAAATCTGATTGAGTCGAATTATACGTTTGGAGTAGCAAATGTGGGACAACCGTAACGGTTAAACAAAGCAGATCATGCCCGATTGATTCGATCCATTTCGAATCGTTTGAGATTCTGCTGGGTCCGTAATAGTGGGTATGAAACAGGGGGGGAGTCCAATAATCTCCAATTAACTTAGCGGTAAAGAAGGAGCTCTTATTGAGTCCGAATTAACTGAGCAAAGTTTGGAGTAGCACGTGTGGGATAACAGTAATAGTTAGACAAAGGGAGATAGTGTCTCATCGAGTCGATGGATTTCGAATCGTGTGAGCTTTTGAGCCCGACATAGTCGGGTATGAAACGGCCGGCAGTCGAATTACCTTGTGCCACTCTAGGCATAGTGGGAACGAAGCTCTCACTAGGTAGTCATGTCAGATTGAGTCGAATTACTTCGATTACTTTGGCGTGTCTATGTCGTCAGGTAGAGAGACGTGACTCTTGTGGAGGACGCTCACGTGCTGCATCGTTTGACTTACTGATGTAGATCGATGTCGACCGTCATTCTACAGAGAGAGGGCGATCTACTCCTCTCTCTCTCTCTCTCTCTCTCTCTCTCTCTCTCTCTCTCTCTCTCTCTCTCTCTCTCTCTCTCTCTCTCTCTNCTCCTCTCTCTCTCTCTCTCTCTCTCTCTCTCTCTCTCTCTCTCTCTCTCTCTCTCTCTCTCTCTCTCTCTCTCTCTCTCTCTCTCTCTCTTGCGCTACACTCCGTTATTACGGCGGCGTAACCTTTCCAGCTCTTCAATCCTCCGGTGTAATTAAGCGACCTTGTTCGATCGTTCACTTTTGTAAACATACATTCCCGTTCGATTCTTTTGACCACTTTGGTTGACCAGTTTGGTTGGAATGTTCTTTCGCTCTCTTGCTTTGACCAGTTTGGTTGATGATGTATGATCTGTCGAAATGGCTTTTCACTTTCCCGCTTTGAAACTTTGCCCCATAGTTTCTAAATCTCTTTTTTCTTTTTTTTTTTTTCAATTCTTTCTCGTTATTCTTTTCCATCGTCCCTGTGCTCTTGCTCCGTGTATTTGGGAGCATCCGACCTTTGTAGATCCTGGTTCTTTCGAATGTTTTGAATAAATTTGCTCCCTGCTGATCTTCTGCTCGCATCAATGTTTATTGAATAAATTTGTTCCCTGCTGATCTTCTGCTCGCATCATCACCATTTATGCGATGTATATTAACAGGACGAACTCGTCCATAACCACGAAGATCGTCCTTAATACAAACTCTCTCTCTCGCGGGCGCGCGCGCGCTCGCGCGCGCGTGGATCTCTAGGAAGGTTTGCTAGGGTGGCCTGTGGTGAGTGGGGGGGGCTTTCCTCCGCCGGGGGAGATTTCTGAGGAAAGCAGAGAATTGAAAAAGTGGGGTGTACCCAGAAGGAGGGCCGCTGTTTTGGAGTGTTTTGAGAAAAGGAACCCGTTTTTCGAAAAGAGGACTGAGGAGGGACCTCTATGATGGGTGGCCGCAGTTTTCACCTCCGTTGTCTTATGCTTGCTCTCTGTTTTTTTTTGCTCTTTTTTTTTAAGAAAAAAATGATGATAAAATACGTGGTTTTGAGGTGCAAGTTTTATCAAATCGGGATTTGATGCCGTGTGGAATACACAGGATCAGGGTAGGGAATAGACAGCTCGGGAGGCACAGTCTGTTAGATGTGGCAGGAATTAGAAATCACATCGCTCCAACGAGGTGCGACCGGGCGGGAAACTCGTTTTTGTCACTACAGGCGAGCATTGGCATAGTATGGCCGCCGGTTTTCAACAAAAAAAATGAATTTGACGTTTCAAGGTTGTCAGGGAAATGTGTGATAAGACGAAAGCGTATTCGAGAACTGTGAGAGTATTAAATGGTACTCTACGAGACCATTTGAACAATGTAAAACGTCCATCTGGTTTCGTTGTCTATTGATTTTCTTCTATACTTGAATGTGTCCGTGGTAGGTAGGCCGTCGCGCCAAAATATCACACGCCAAGAGCTCCTCTGTGTGCGAATGATGGGCCTCGCTGCACAGGTATCCACATGCACAATAGACAAAAAATATGGCGGTGCATCTTCCCATGTTTTGGCGGAAGATGCATTCTCGTTTTGCACACTTGGAGAGTAGTGCAGCGAGGCCCTACGTTCGGGATTCTGCAGCTGCGTTTCCTTCGAGTTTTCGAATGTTTGTTCACGATGGTTCCTTGCCCGCTGTGCCTCCTAGAAATGGGATTGACCGCATGACCCGATTCTGTGTTGCTTGGAAATGGACATTGATTATTGATATAACCCCAACTGACGGACGACTTCTGCTGTTCACTGTGTTGTTGCAGGAGAAAACGGTGTTGTGGGTGCAGACCCGCCTGTTTGGACTTCAGAGTCATCTTTTAGTCAAGCGAAGCACCATCTCTCCACGATGGGTTCTCCGTCCGTAGGTTGCTTGCGGTGCCTTGTGGGCTTGGCCTTGCTCGTAGGTTGCTTCCTGAGGACGACCGAGGCACTCCAGATGGTTTGCAACGGCACAGAGTGCCACATGCGGCCGAAAGAATGCGCAGCTACGCAAAAGCGATGCGTCCCTGACGGCCCGTGTGTGGATTGCTGCAGCAATAGCCACTGCCGCAGATTCCAGAAGTGCTCCGAAGGTGTGTGCAAACCTGCCGTGGCGCCGAAGCCTTGCCCTGCCGGGCTGAAGCGCTGCACGGTCGGCGGCCCGTGTGTGAGGTGCTGCAAGGACTGCGACTGCGGCAGCCGCAAAGCCTGCGTTGCTGGGCAATGCAAGCCTGCCCGCGTGGTTGCGTGTGCCGCTGGACTGAAGCGCTGCAGCGCAGGTGGCGCTTGCGTGGAGTGCTGCAAACACAAGGAGTGCGGCAGTGGTAAGAAGTGCGTTTCCGGGCAGTGCAAGATTGTGAAGTGCTGCAAGGATGCGCAGTGCGGCAAGGGAAAGAAGTGCGTCGCCGGGCAGTGCAAGCCGGCGGGCGTGGGGGCGTGTGCTGTGGGGCTGAAGAGGTGCACCGTCGGAGGTGAGTGTGTGAAGTGCTGCAAGAATGCGGACTGCCTTCGCGGACAGAAGTGCGTTTCGGGACAGTGCAAGCCGTGCGGCATCCCCGCATGTGCCGCGGGATTGAAGCGCTGTAAGGCGGCTGGTGCGTGTGTCAAGTGCTGCGACGACAAAGACTGCGGCAAAGGAAAGAAGTGCGTTCTTGGGCAATGCAAGTCATCGGCTGCGTGCGCGTGTCGTCGTGGGCTTGTGCGGTGCCCCAATGGGAAATGCAGCAAGTGCTGCGTCGACAAGCATTGCCCCAAGGGAAAGCGGTGCTGCGGTGGTAAGTGCAGGACGCGATGCTGAGAAATGAGGAGACATCCGTGCAGTGCAGCTGATCATCCTTGCCTCGCCGGATGCTTCGGACTTCAGTAGGCGATGTGCCTGGTGTCGGGAGCCGTGAAAACCTTGGGCGCGCGTGTATATGTCCTTGAAGTTCTTAGGCGTCCAGATGTTCCTTTAAGGGTGACGACTATGGTAGGCTCCGTGTTAACTATGGCGGGCCGTTGTGTGTGTTGGGCAGGAGGACTGCGTATATCCATGCCTCTGTGAGAGAAGTCGTTTACCATCTAAAATGAACCGAGTCTCGCTGTCAATTGAAGGACGCGCTTTAGCGTTCCTGATTTTGGGACAAAATGGCTCCTCGTAGAGAGAGAGAGAGAGAGAGAGAGAGAGATTGCTACCGTGCTGAAGGTCATTATATTGCCCAGGGGAGGCTGGTGTGAGTCTGGCCTATTTCGGCCGGTTTTGTGAATATTAATTGCGTTCAGCGAAAAGTGTAGCACCTGCTAGTCTCAGAAACAAAAACATGTCGCTTACGATGTGCAAATTTAGGCAAAATACAAGATCTACGTGACCAAATTTTCCAACTCTGGCGAGGGACCAAAGACACTTGTATTGTTTGTTTGATATTTTGAAGCATTCGGCGGCAGCATATTTTGTTGTTTTCGGAATCATAAATGAGGTGTCCACTGTTTGTGCAAATCCACCAGCAGCGCAATTTGACATTTCTCATAACTGCGAAAAATGTGTGGGAGTGTTTGTGCGTATGTGTATGTGGGGGGAGAGAGAGAGAGAGAGAGAGAGAGAGAGAGGGATGGCTCTTTTGGCGGCTTATTTTTATTATCGTATTTGAGCTCGTATTTGATGGATACCCCGGCTTGGCAAAACTCGGTGCGCAGTGAAATTCAGGTTCGGCAAAAACAGGATTGGAGCCAGGGGCGATTTAAACTAAGCTATATTATTCTCTCAATTTCACCTTTCACTAGCTACCTACCAATTCTCCTGGGCCTATACAGGGGACCCCTGCAAGGCTGCAAGCATAGCTACCTCTCACAATTAAGGGGATGATGCCTGTTGCCCCTCCCATTAATCAGCGGTGGTCAGGGAGTAGGGTGGGGCTGCAGGTGGGGAGTGGCGGCTGACACAAAGGCTGAGCATTTTCCCAGTATCTCCTCCTCCCATCCACTTCCGCGGTTCCCATCGAGCAAAAGCACTGTCTATGGCCAACACTCTTTTATTGGTGGGAGCTGCACCTGCCCGGAAATGGGTGCAGCGTCCCTTCCATAACTATACCATAGACCAACAAAGAGCTTGTGTGAAACTTTTGTTTGTTTGTTTCTTGGTTTGATTGATTGATTGGTTGATTGATTGATTATATAAAGGGGTTGCCGGCGTGCAAGGGCCAATGCTAATGTTACCCTCTCAATTTGTCAATGTTACCTTCCACTTTGCCACCCGCTCCACAGCCTCTACTTGATCAAGGCGCGAGTACAGGATGGGCACAAGCACAACTTGGCATACCCTTTGTGTGATGGCCCTGCAAGTTTGATGTCCTTGTTTTTTTTTCCTGTTATATTAAACTGATCAGAACAGATACTACACTCGATCTTAGACAAGAGGCCAAGAAAGGTATGCCCTTTTTTTCATCCTCTCCCCTGTAAAATGAAATAACAACAGAGCATGAAGAGAGGTCATCTTTTTTTCTCTTCCTTCTGACACCGAGCAACAGTACGGTAGTACCTCCCTGCTCTCAATCAGTCACTTTGTTTCTGTGGAACCAAAGGTGCCCAAAAGCTGGCTTCTCTGCTGTCGACCCTGCTTACAGGCTTCACAACAGTGACCTGGGCCATGCTGTGATAAGCCAAGCTCCGAACCTCGCGGCCTCACGTACCCTTCGGAGTAAAGCACAAAGAAAGCCCCGACGAACGGAACCTGGCTAATTACAGTAAACGGTGTCTATTTTCAAATTTTGTGGCCTGATTGCATGCATCTTTTGAGATTGCCCCCGAACGTGTTCAAATTAGTCTCGAGTGGCCGATTAGCGACCGTGCAGGAATTTCAAAGAAACTGTTATAAGTTTGGGTTGATGGCATTTTTCAGTTTTTCTTTGCATCAGCGCGTGTGTGGCCACTATTGATTCTTGTTTGCCACACAACCTCGCTCCCCTCTTTGCACGTGCATGCAAACTTCCTTTCTTCTAGTACTTCGTCTCCGTGCACCTCTTCGTCTTCCTCCAGACCTTCGGTCTGATCCCTTCCTTGGTTCTTCGGCGCAGTTGATTGGTGGTCACTTGGGCTGGTAGGATCAAGCAGGACGAGCAAACTTGCAAAGGATCAACTTCCAATCAAGCAGGAAGAGCAAACTTGCACGCGGCCTTTTAGAAAGAGGAAAGAAAAAGAACTGGCCCAACTCAGTTGGTACACCCCTGAACTGTTGAAAATTTGAAATACAGTCCTTCGGGACATTCGTTAAGATTGGAACGATACAGAGAAGATTAGCATGGCGGCCAAACGATACTTGCCCCTGTGCACTCGAGGATGACATCATGACACACAAA